CCCTCATTTGCACCTTTATGCTCTCAAACTTCCTGAAATCCTCTGCCGTTGATTTCTAGTGCATTTCTCCTATTCCAAGTCTTCGTCTTTAAATCCCCAACCCAGACAACCCTTTTACTCTGTGCTTCTTTCTCACAATGGCGTTCTTCATCTCCAAGCTTTCCAGGGAATGTGACCAACATCAGAAGATTTTTGATCGGAGCTCGATCAAGACCATCCGGTTTGAAAACGACATGAGCACCCAGTACCAAATCCTGGGTCCTCTCTTCAAGGCTACAATACCGCCGACTATCATCGGCCTTCTACAGGAGCACTGCCTAACACCCTTGCTTCAAGGGTTTGAATGGTCGCGATGGGATGCGGCTAAACCCCAGGGCTCCTGGCCCTCGACGACCACATCCTGGGCAGCCTGGGTCGTTCGAATGGAACTACTCTTCGGCGAGCAATGGAAGGCCCTTGGCATCTACGATGCCATCCTCCTTTCGTCTATGGAAATCATCCCCGACAAGGAGCTTCTCCAAGCCGCTCTGTGCTTCTAGTGCTCGGCCACCAACACAATGGTCCTTCCTCTGGGTCCCATTAGTCCCACCATCCTGGATATCACTGCCATTCTGGGGACTTCGGCGACCAGGATCCCTGTCGACGCGACCCTCTCTGGGCATCCGTCGAATATCGACCTGAAAACGCTCTTCGACCGTCGGGCCTCCGAGACCTTGAACCGTGACGGTCATATTCCGTCGAAGGAAGATATTCAGAAGCTCCACAAGAACTTCTGTAATTACAACACCCTCTATCTCCACTTCGCCGGCCGAGGAGAAGAGGACCTGCGAGAGGGAGAGCATGAAGCCTTCCTCTTCTACTGGTACAACAAATACATTTGTTGTACCAAGTCAAACAAGTGTTTGGTCGAGAACATGCCGGTAGCCGAAGCCCTGGCTAGTGGTCACGTCTTGGCACCGAGTTCCAACATTCTCGCCCAACTTTTCCGCTGCCTGGCCGAGGCGACCCTCCACAAGGTCGACCCACACCAGAATGGTCATTTCTGGGTCTTCCAACTCTGGTTGCAGGTATACTTCGCCTCCCTTCGGCCGGCCATAGCTGAATTCTCACCAACAGATGCGCTTGGGCCTCAACTGGCCTCTCGACCGACACCTCCCCATCAAGCCGAAGAGGTATTGGAAAAAACCTTGCATAAGGGTCAGAATCATTAGTATCGCCATCCAACTCAAATGGTGTTTCTGGTGTAGGGGAAATAAGTCCAATCCATGAAAGCAACTTCTTTAGGAGCCTTCCACGGGGTCCAACTGAAGATAAACGTCCTTCATAACGAGATACTGCCCTCTGTGCCGCCAGCCAAATTGGGAGGTCTTTATTTGATAGTTGCTCTACTCCCAGTAGATCATCAAAAGTTTGTTCGCTATAACGAAATGCTTGCTGGAAAACAGACAATTCCTTAATCCAAAGCTTCATTCTTTTAGTCAAGTCTTGTACTTCTGGTGTTTCGCAAGCAACTTGGAATGCCTGTCATAAAGCAAGAGAGAAAAAAACATGTCAAACTAAATATAAAGAAAACTGAGAAAAGGAACAGAAACCTGAAGGATGCTGCCCCAGGATGAAGGCAGCCTTTGTTCTGAAAAAACACAATGACCTCAACTATCCAGCTCCCAAATTTCGCCAACGGTTTTGATACGATGAAGAAGGTTCCCTGTAGAATTTTGGACTGTATGTACTCCAGTTTTTCTACAAGTAGTAGACCCTTCTCCCCCTCTCTGTTGCATATCCTCGCCTGAAAGAGGAATTGACATTAACTTGAAAGTGGTCGGCTAAATGAAAAATGGTCATATAAATTAATTGTTCAGTGATCAAAGGTTAATATAAAAATGAAAACAGAGGACTGAGCCTAAAAATATACTCACCTGAATATAATTGCATTGGACTCAGATGCCTTCTTCCAGTCGACATATATGGGCAAAGTAAGGAGATAATCTGTGTTCAATGCAGAAGTCAGCATTAAATCCCTTTCGGATAGTTCTTCAAACTGAGCATCATTAAGAAGTTGCATGAAAGAACGCTGGAAACGAGTGGAAACAGCAACTCTACAACACAAGAAAAGATTGCATAGGATGTCAAGGGCTTCCATACATGAGTCTGAACAACAACTAAAAGTAAAATAAAACATAAACATACACTGTGCCAGCCTCTTAAAGGTTATACCATCATTCTTTCAATCTTGTCAAACTTTTACCCCAAAAGTTACTGACCTTGTAAAGCAACATGGACAACGAAAAACTACCATCTTTGTCCTATTTCCCTAATAACAGTTGATTTCATACCATGAAATGAGATAAAGAGTTCTCTGCTGATACAATTGAAATTGACTAGAATACGTTGTAACAAATTACAAGCATATGCATTATACGTACCCACATATACAACTTCAACCCGATCTTAGAGCAAATGTATTATAAACCGGCAGCACTAAGGATTATCCCTCTAACATTGAAGGTTTTCTAAGCTCCTAACTTCTGCTGTATAAGTTTCTAAATTGCAAATTTGTTTATAAAATCATAAAACAGAAGAAAACTTGACTTGTAGAGCAACTGGATCACCTCTCAACGTTCTTAGCCGGAGAACCCAAGAGTTTTCGCAACTCCAAAACATAATCTAACTGCGGCATTGCGTTTCCACCTTCATTTTTTTCATCCTCATTTGCCTCAATGCTCTCAACTCCATTGATGACACTCCCATTAGCAGAATCCGAGCTCTGCCCATCAACCAAATCACCATTTTGCTTGTTCTCCGCGGAATTCGATTTGAAATAATCAGCTCGCATTTCTTCCAAGATTCCCTTGTGCTCGGCGTGAAGAATGGAGTCCAAGCACCTGCAAAGCAAACAGCTTTTTATTGAATGTTCAAAATGTCCCAAACGAGGTCGTTCGATTGGGGCTTACGAAGAGAGAAGCAGAAAGCTCTGCAATTCATCGTCGTCTTCGCCGTTGCTGTCCTTGAACAAGTTCGAAACGACGCCGTCGAGAAGCTCGGCCTTGGGAACGGGGATGTACTTCTGCCTGGGGACCGGGATTTTGGAAATTCCATGGTCTTCTTCTTCTTCTTCGCCTTGGTTATGATCGGGAACGACGTCGTTTTGCTTCTCGGTCTTGCGGGCGTCTTTCAAGCTTATAGCGGCGCCGGTGGTTTGGATTCGCGGAGGCTCCGTCGACAGTTCCTGGAAGCTGGCGAGAGAGCAGTGAGCAACTGATGGTGGTGAAGGAATTAGACGGCGCTGTTTTACGGTTACGGAGAGAGCTCCGAGGCCGGTGAGAGCGTGCCAAGAAGCTGACATGATCGCAAAGCAAAGGAGATCGAGAGAGCAGCAGAGCACTGTGCCACTGCCAACCCCACGTATATACGATAAGGAAAATACATAACAGTACCCAGCCCATCTTCCAAAAATACCCCCATCTGAATCTTCATTTTACTCCTCGGTATAGATTGATTTTTAGACTAAAACATGACTCATGTCATGAGTAACATCAAAATCTAATTTTAATCATTTATTAATTATATTTTGGTGTTTTAATTATTTCTTTTTTTCTTGCTAATTTTAATGTACTAATTTTATGTCATTATAATCATAATTTTTCATTTCATTCTTCTTCATAATATATCTTGTTGTAAATATTTAGATAAACTAACTTTTGTTTTTACAATATATTTCGATATACTTTGTCTGTCACATCCCGGCTCGGGCGAGACCACTTCCCGGGCCCGACCTTCGTCGTAGCACGATATTGTCCACTTTGGGCCCCGAGCACACCCTCACGGTTTTGTTTATGGGAACTCACGAGTAACTTCCTAGTAGGTCACCCATCATGAGAGTGTTATTGCCCTCTTCTCGCTTAACTTCGGAGTTCCTAGGGAACCCGAAGCCAATGAGCTCTCAAAAAACCTTGTGCTAGGTAAAGATGAGAAATATACATATAAGGCTTACAGGATCCATTCCCCTAGGCGATGTGGGATGTCACAATCCACCCCCCTTAGGGGCCCGACGTCCTCGTCAGCACACTTCCGGCCAGGGATTGGCTCTAATACCAAATTGTCACATCCCGGCCCGAGCGGGACCACTTCCCTGGCCCGACCTCCACCGTAGCACGATATTGTCCGCTTTGGGCCCCGAGCACACCCTCACGGTTTTGTTTCTTCTGGAAACTCACGAGCAACTTCCCAGTGGGTCACCCATCATGGGAGTGCTCTCGCCCTCTTCTCGCTTAACTTCGGAGTTCCTACGAAACCCGAAGCCAGTGAGCTCCCAAAAGGCCTTGTGCTGCTAGGTAAAGATGAGAATATACATATATAAGGCTTACAGGATCCACTCCCCTGGGCGATGTGAGATGTCACATTGTTTTCTTCATTTAGGTACATTAAATTCGTTATAATAATACATTTTGGTGCATACATTTAGGTATATACATTTCAATACATACATTTCGATACAAAGATTTAGGTACATTAATTCAATATAATATATTTCGATACACACAGTTAGGTACATTAGTTTAATATAATAAATTTCGGTGTATACATTTGGGTACATACATTTCGATACACACATTTAGGTACATTAGTTTAATATGATACATTTCGGTCCATATATTTGGATATATACATTTCGGTACATACATGTCAGTACTAACATTTAGATACATTAAATGAGTTTTTCAAGTTTGAAGAATGTTAAATAGAATTAATAAATTAAAAAAACTTTTGTTTGGTCAAAAAATAAATTTAACTGTGTATATTAATAAATTTAAATATTTAATGGGAGACATTGAATGAAATACACATTAATTATTTTATTTTAAATTAAGGACACATCAATGGACTATAATCAATATGTAATCTAACACCAAGTTTATTTTAAATTTCAATCTTCTTCAAGGATTAAAGTTAGAAAACCTCTTATATTATTAATTAAGTATCGATTAACGTGCTTATTTTTTATCAATGACGAATCATTTGATTTGCAAAATTGATTTGAAAATTTAGTCTCTTTAGTATTATGTGTTGGACAAGAGATACAGACCCGGCCCTGAGGGTAGTCCATGTAGGCGTCCGCCGCCCCACTTCGGAGGGGCCTCAAAAAATTTTATATCCTGTAAATAACATATAAATACAAACAAAGTATGAAATATCACAGTTCATTTGTTTGTGTAGTTGAAATGTTTGGCTTCCCAATCTCTCCACTTTTATTGAATGTTTAAATTAACTATCATATGGTTTTGAAGATTGTACTTTAAGGTAATCAAAACTTTGAATTTATATTTAGGTTTTTAATAATTTATCACAATGGATTATTTTAATATTCGATTCATTAATGTGATGTTGATTTTAGAAAAAACACAAGACAAACAATTGGCGTTGTTGAATTTATTATACTCGTCAATCAAGTTGTATTGTTCTTTACTCTCTTGATCATCAAGTTTTATTATTCTTCACTCTCAATACTAACTCTTGACTGCAAACATTTAGTACATTTGTATCTAAAAACGTGAGACGTGTAATAATTAAGTAATTTTGTATGAAGAAAATAGGTTCTCATCCTTCCTTTTGCTACTCCATTATTAAAATCCTATTCTTTTTCAATTTTTGATCAAAGTCCTTGGGTATTAATGACATCATTAATTATTTCAATAATAAAATATATTTTTTATTTCTAAATATATTCATTTAATGTTAAAAATGTTACAATTAGTATATTTATATTTATGACTAAATTTTTTATCATATAATTTTAGTTTTTAATTTGTAATTCTTTTTTAATTCGTACCAATTTTCTTTTCAGTTTTAATTTGTATCCATATATTAATTTCTTTTTGCTACTCCATATTTTTTTTAAATTTATTTGTATTTGTACCCATATATTGTTTTTTATTTGTACTTTTTATTTTGCTAAATGTACCCATGCTAATTATATGTACCCATTCATGTAAAACTTTTTAATCTTAAAATGTACTCATTCTTAAATATACCATTTTATTTTTATATAAAATCTATTCAATTTTTTTCTAATCCATTTTTAAACTTATATGGGTACATTCTTTTTTCTTTGATTTTAAAATGTATCCATGTCAAGTTTAATCAAAGAAATTTACTAATGTTATTAAGCCTAATTTTTTTTTTTTTTTTTTTTGTGATTTTGAAGAATGTACCCATGTTTTGATACAATAATGTTTTGGTTAATTTTGATGAATGTACCCATGTTTATACACACACACACTATAGTATATTTATATTTTAATATTTTTAATCCCACAAATTATGGTTTTTTATTTAAAATTCTCATTTAAATAAACAACTAAAATTTCTAATTTTTAATTTAAAAAAAATATAGTAATGTACATAAAATAGAAATAAATTATCACATTAATTTCAGGGACCTTAATCAAAAATTAAAAAACTAACAAGGTTTTAATCAAAGAATATTCATAGATAAGGACCGTATCCAAAGCCTCATTTTTTGTGTGCGTATATATATATATATATATATATATATATATATATATATATATATATTATTTTTTTTTTTTTTTTTTTTTTTTTTGGTAAAAGTTACTTTTTATTACCAACCAACCAAAACATATATACAAGCTAACTAAAGGCCCAAAGTAAACATATAAACAAACAAAAGATGGGCCAAAAACAAAATAAAACACAAAATGAGTCAATCAACATATGTGGCCCAAAAGCTACACAATATAATCTGGAAACTTCTACTGTAGTCTCTGTCTCCATTGTTCCACATGATCCATCCAATTCCTCTTCCACTGCCGATCTCACCTTCCAACTCTGATCCGCTCATCAATGTATAAAGAATTGGGTAAGGGTGGGAAACGGGTAGAGGAACCATGGGTCGGGCGGGCAATCTAGGTTCGAGGTTGGTACGGGCCAATTATAAATGTTTTAGAAAATAAATGGAGCGGGGCGGGCCAATATCATTAACAGGGTAAGCTGAGTCCTAAACCCTAGAAAAAAGGGGGGCCCCAAACAGACCCGTTTCTAATTATAATGAACGGTCAAGATTGAATGATAACCTATCATCCAATGTGAACCGTTAGTTTCTACCCTAGTCATCCCGAGTCCAGGTTTCCAGAATCAGTCTCACTCCCACCTCTTCACCATCCATCACTNTGACCTTCGTCTTCTCACCGCATTTCCCAAATGTTCGTGATCGACAATTCCTTCGGTCGATTTGCCCTTTGTTTTGAAATTTCGAACGATTGTCTTCCCCCTATAACTCTATAAATACCGAAATTCCCTCATTTGTACCTTAGCTCTCAAACTTCCTGAAATCCCTCTGCCGTTGATTTCTAGTGCATTTCTCCTATTCCAAGTCTTCGTCTTTAAATCCCCAACCCAGACAACCCTTCTACTCCGTGCTTCTTTCTCACAATGGCGTCCTCATCTCCAAGCTTCCAGGGAGTGACCAAATCAGAAGATTTTGATCGGAGCTCGATCAAGACATCCGGTTTGAAAACGACATGAGCACCCAGTACCAAATCCTGGGCCCTCTTTCAAGGCTACAATACCGCCGACTATCATCGGCCTTCTACAGGAGCATTGCCTAACACCCTTGCTTCAAGGGTTGAATGGTCGCGATGGATGCGCTAAGCCCAGGGCTCCTGGCCCTCGACGACCACATCCTGGGCAGCCTGGGTCGTTCGAATGGAACGACTCTTCGGCGAGCCACGAAAGGCCTTGGCATCTACGACGCCATCCTCCTTTCATCTATGAAATCGTTCCCGACAAGGGCTTCTCCAAGCCGCTCTGTGCTTCTTGGTGCTCGGCCACCAACACAATGTCATTCCTCTGGGTCCCATTGGGTCCCACCATCCTGGATATCACTGCCATTTGGGACTTCGGCGACCGGATCCCTGTCGGACGACCTCTGGCATCCGTCGAATATCGACCTGAAAACGCTCTTCGACCGTCGGGCCTCCGAGACCTTGAACCGTGACGGTCATATCCCGTCGAAGGAAGATATTCAGAAGCTCCACAAGAACTTCTGTAATTACAACACCATCTATCTCCACTTCGCCGGCCGAGGAGAAGAGGACATGCGAGAGGGAGAGCATGAAGCCTTCCTCTTCTACTGGTACAACAAATACATTTGTTGTACTAAGTCAAACAAGTGTTTGGTCGAGAACATGCCGGTAGCCGAAGCCCTGGGTAGTGGTCACGTCTTGGCACTGAGTTCCAACATTCTCGCCCAACTTTTCCGCTGCCTGGCCGATGCGACCCTCTACAAGGTCGACCCACACCAGAATGGTCCTCTCTGGATCTTCTAACTCTGGTTGCAGGTATACTTCGCCTCCCTTCGGCCGGCCATAA